TTGATATTTTATAAAATTTTTTAGAATTTAAATTTAACAATATTAACCAAATATAATAATAAATATGTTTTCAACAGTGAAATAAGTATGGACACTTTTATAAAAATGATATATACTTTTTGAAAGTTATGTAATTTATGTTTCAATTTTTTTTAATAGTGTTTCATGTTTTCCACCTACAATATTAATTTAATAATTTCATTTACACAAAAAATTATTTGATTGTTTTGATATTTTATAAAATATTATTTAGATTTTAAATTTAATAATATTAACTAAAGATAATAATAAATATATTTTCACAGTGAAATAAGTATGGACACTTTTATAAAAAGGATAGATAATTTACAATATAACAGGTAAAAATATGACAAAACCAGATTCATTATGACAAAACCGGTAAAATTTACTTGATATGTTAAAAGTATGGACACTTTTATAAAAAGGATAGATACTTACCGATAACCAAAGTTTACCGGTTACCAAATTTTTTAATAATTTTTCATATTTTCTACCTAAAATATTATTAGTTGTCAACATAATAGGTACCGCTAAACCGAATTTATTAAATACATTTTAATGTATCCGGTAATGTTGTATATTAGCCGTATATTAACCCGCCTTTCCTGAGACATTCCCCCTCTTACTAATAGGAATCCTTACTTCTTTTCTGTAATAGGAATCCTTACTTCTTTTCTGTTTGGATGGAAAGAAAATTCCAGACATGGAGTCCTTCAATTTTCCCTCGCATCAAAATTGCTGGTACACAACCCAATCACAAAAACTTTGAAAATCCCACATTGCAATGAAGGAAAATAAAAGACACAATGATCTTTCTGTCATATAAATTGTTTTTTTTTATTTTTAATTATTTATTTTATTCGTATGGTTGAACTATATATCAATTAATTTTATTTTCTGTTTTGAATATTATATTTAAATATACAATGATAAATAATGATTTTATTAATTATTTTTATTTTAACCGAACTTTTTTTATCATGTGTATGGTGTAAAAATTGTGCATTGTTTCGACCTAGGACCTAATATCAATAAGACTTTATTTAGTTTGAAAGATGAAAATAAATAATAATATAATTTTTTATTTAAATGTTTAAGATTCATAATTAATTTTTTGTTTTGAATTCTAACTATTTGATTAATAATTTTTTTTATCTTTCCTAATTTATATTCTTTATATCAAACAAAGTCTAAAGATTTTATTTATACAATTCATTTGTTAATTGATAAGTATTTAAAAAATCACGGGCTAAATAGCTTATGTGGTAAATGAATTGTTGATATTCTTGAAGATATGAATTCAAGCACCATATATATAAGGGTATAACGTTCAATGTCAAGGGATTGAGAATCATCTTTTAACAAATAATTGCCCCAAATTAATAAAAAAATGCACTCCAAATTATTAATCATTTTGAGAAAAAATATACTTATTTTGCTAGGAAATATCTGTGTTATTATTTGATAAATATAATTCTTATTCTTTATCAAATAATATTCTATATCATATTATATTTTAGAGTAATATTAAAACGACTTTTCAACAATCTCTTCGCCTTTATTCTATAAAGGATATTTGAGATTTTCATGTGTTTTTGGTTCGCTGGAATGTTTATGAAGGAATTAAAATCTGTGAAGGAATTGGAATCTGTAGGAATTGGAATCTGAATCTGAAACCTGTTTGGTTGACAAGAAATTGAATTGAAATCCAATTTCATATTTTGTTTGGTTCGTAGACATGTCAGATGAATTTGATTTCAGTAATGTAAAATGACAGAATTACCCTTCTTATTTTTTTACTTAATTTTAGTTTGTTTTATAACTTACATGTAGCAATATATTATAAAAATTTAAAAAATATTAAATTTTTATTTTATTGATTGATTATTCATTCCAATAAATTATAAAAAATCATACTAATAAACATCATAAGTTAAAATCATCCCAATTAGGGATGACCATGGGTCGGGTTGGGTCGTGTTTTTGGTCCACCTGACCCGACTCGAGAACAAGGGAACCTCCACCCGAGACCTGACCTGACCCGAATATATGAATTAGAAACCGACCCGAAATAATAAAATTTTTTTTATTCAATAAAAACAGTGACTTAATTGAAAAACTTATATATAGATGGATATTATTGTAATTATTCCTAAATATATAAGGTAAAATTATATATTTTTTCGGGTCGGGTATTTTTCACCCTAAACCCGAACCCGACCCGACCCGAATATCACACTTTAAAAAACCTGGCCGACCCGAATATCACACTTTAAAAAAACCCGACCCGACCCGAATATCACACTTAAAATAAACCGACCCGAATATTACACTTAAAAAAACCTGACCCGACCCGAATATCACACTTAAAAAAAAACCGACCCGAATATCACACTTAAAAAAACCGACCCGAATATCACATTTAAAAAAACCCGACCTGAACCGAACCTGATTTTTTTTAAAAAAATTCGACCCGATTAGGTCGGGTCCGGGTTGAGTGACCATCCCTAATCCCAATCAAAATATGTTAATAAGTTACCAAAAAATTGATGAGGGTAGTATGGTCAAATTTCACATTCCCTCCTTCAAATGATTTCAATTCCATCATTTTTTGGATGAAATTTACTTTCCTTCATTTGATGGAATTGAATTCCAATTCCCCATTTGAAAACTTGAACCAAACATGAGAAAGTGGTGAAATTGAATTTCAATTCTCCCTAATTCCAAGGAATTTCTGAGAACTAATCGCCACCTCATACTTTTCTTATAAAAACATGATTTTTATATTTATTTTATATTTAATATGATATTTAAAATTTAAAAAAATCAATATATCTCTTTGATCACAAAACTAAATGTTAACTGTTATAATAGAGATATTTTTCTTTTAAATATTTTAATTTATTTAGTCAAAATAAATATGTAAGTTATCATTTTATTACCCTTTTAGTACCTACAGTTAGGGTGGATCTATGTTATGGGCGGGAGGAGCAATTGCCTCTCTCAATTTTGATGGTCTAATTATATTTTAGGTCACTGATAGTTTTGAAATCATTATAACTAAGCCCTTGCACCTCCTAAATTTTTTTGGTATAATTATTTTAAGGATATTTTCAGTTGTAAAATTAATGAAATTAAGCCTTTACCTCAAATTTATATGGTTTAATTACTATTTAAGACCTTTGAATTTTAAATTTAGTGAAACCAAACCATTCATCTCTTAATTTTTATGGTTTAATTATTTTTAGGACACTATTTATTTCAAAGTTAGGCAATTTGCCCCTAATGATTGAATCTTGATTCTGTCCCTGCTTACATTTAAGAGTTTATTTAGATAAATTATGCATAATTTTTTTATTAGTGAGTGATTATAATATAATATCTATTTAAAAGATTTTTAATCATATGACATCGAACGCTCAAATATTCGTGTAGACTTTCAACTTTTCAAAAAGTTGTGAGAGAATTTAATTAATTTTTAAAAATAATTGAACCATTATCTGAAATTTTCATAAAATAATTTTTGTTAGTAATAATGTGGATCATGATAGAAGAAAGCTTTGAAAAGATAGAACTACGTTTTGCACATGGATAGTTCTACCGGATCCAATAAAGACTACATTATTGATCATAGGGCTATGAGGTGGTGAAAAAGCTACACAAGTCGTAGTCACGTATAGAGACCACGTGTACATGATTTTATGTTAAAAATAAAGTTATAATTAAAAATAAATAAAAATATTAATAAAAATACACAAATAAAAAAAATAGAACATAAGAGAACTTAATTTTTTTTAAGAAAAACGATGATCTCATCCACGATCCATCCATACTTATCCCAAAATGACGTCAATTATTTTTTAAAAATTTAAGATTAGTTTCTCTTAATATTTTTTATCACTTTTCTCTTTTTCTTTTAATATTTTAGTCGTCGATAATATTAGTCTTAATATTAATTGTTGACTACTCATGATTATTATTATTTTTTCCTTTTGTATATTATGTTCTTTATTTTTCTTTATTTTTTATTTTTTAAATTTTAAATAAGAATTTATATCTTTGTAATACGCTTATTTTTGCTATTGTAGTACATTTTTTCTACTAATGTGACACGTTTCTTATGAATTTTAGTATGTTTTCGCATAATTCTATGGTTATGTTAGTACTCGCACAAAGATCCTCATAATATTTATTTTTTAATTAATTTGTTAGTGATAAAGTATTGTCAGATTTCTTTAATAAAAAGTTGTTTACATATATAATTATAATTGTGTAATGAAGTAGCGTATAAATGTTAGTTGTTTTTATTTGGTTTTTGTAATATGCTAGAGCTAGCAAGACCATTTTCGAAAATATCTAAACAACGCAAGGTAGCTTAGTAAACAATCGCATATTATTTGAAACCAACAAAAGTCATTTTCTTTTTCTCCAATCACACGGAGACAGTTAAAAGAAATAGAGAAAAAAAGTCAGTTGAACTAAAATTTTTCTGACGTCACGCATCCCAATTAAAACCAAGATCTGCGTCATCATCTGGCCATCCACGTGGTGCTCATCTACCAATCTTCTATTTATGGAAAGCCGAAACAGCCTGTCCGCGTAAATCCCTATCCAATTCTCATTGACCCACGTGTCCCCTTTCAAATCCCACGATCGACAAGTAAGCAGTTCAACTCGAACCCCGAGATCGACGTGCCCCATTATTGGCGCCGCTGACCGGGACACTCCTCGTCTTCCCATTGGCTCCCCATTGGGCCCCACTCGCGACCTTTGTTCCGTACCTTGGGCCCGTTGATCTTTGCCACGTTTCGTTTCTCGACCAATCCTTTTTCTGTGCTGTTTGTCTCTTTATCCACACACGTGTTAGACCTCACATGTGTCCCCTTCCTCCTCCTTATAAAACCCGACTCCTGTTTCAAGCATGGAGAGCGTCCAAATCGTATCGTCCCTGTATACGCAAGGAAAGGCGCGAGGTAAAGGAGAGAAAAAAAATGGAAGGCAGAGGAGGGTGTTGCATAGCGAGATATGCAGCCGCTGGCCATGGGGTTTATGATATGTCGAAGGTGAACCGGATAATGCTCCGGTTCCGACCGATCGCTCCCAAACCGGCGACCGGCGGGTCGGTTTCCCCACAGGGAAGCGGTGAGGTTTGTTCTAAGCCAGGGAGGGGGAAAAGAAGACCCTCTAAAGAAAGTAATAGTATGAGTAATAGCAAGAGGTGCAACAAGAAAAGAAGGGTTTTGAACGAGGAAAAAAGGGTTACTTTGCCGCTTCTCCCTGAAACCCCTGACTGCAAAGTGTCTGTTCTGAATCAGCAAAAGGGTGGAGTGATACAAAAGACGATGCCTTTTTGGTTAAGCTTTAGTACCGCTGATGATAAAAAGGAGAGTTTCCTCGGTGGTGGTGGTGTTAGGCCAGCGGAGCAGGCGGTGGTGGTGCCACAGCAGAGGCTGAAGGTGGGGTCATGCGTGACCGTCGAATGCCTGACGGACACATGGGTTAGTGGAGATGTTTTAGGTACAACAGAAGAGGAAAAGAAGGTCAATCTGGGGAGAGACACGTGTCCCGGGTTTATATCAGATGGTATGGGGAGGGTGACTTGGACAAACGGGGCGTATAAAGAAATGGTCGGAGGAGAAACGATGGTGTGTCTGGCGATGAAGGAGAGGCTGCCGTTGATGATAACGTACCCGGCGTTTACATGCAAGGTAAGGGTGCAGTACACATGCGGGAAAGAGCGAAGCTCCTTGACGCTGCCTTGCGACGTTTGGCGAATGGACGGTGGTGGCTTTGCATGGAGGCTGGATATCAACGCCGCCCTCTGCTTGGGCAGATGAAACGAGAACACTTCAAATGCATGCAGCACCGAGTTTTTCTCTTTTAAGCTGTAAATATTTTCATGAGATTTGTTTGTTTCTGTTGGGGCTTCAACTTCTTTACTGTTTCCTTTCCGAGTGTTTAGATGCAAAACATTTGATGAGAAGGGAGATCTAAGAGCACCCATATTTGGATGTATTTATTATTATTGTAGATGGTTTTGTGCGAGTTCTCAACAACACTTCAGTTTCTTTTTGTTTCTTTTTCTGTATATTTGCTGCAGTTTGCATATATAGATCGAGATTTTTGCTTAACCCAGTTTGCCATAGGTTCAGGTTCACCTCTTACTATTCAATGTATGCTATATGTTCATTATACACAAGTTTTTTGGATGTTTTAAATTTGGGTAAACTGTAAATGATCATTGTCGTCGTCACTGTATGGTGAGGTGTTTAGTTTTAATGATTGTCTAACTATTTATATATATTTTGAATTAAATATTTATCGATAAAATTTATTTTTATATATATTTTAAATTAAATTTTACTGTTTAAATTATTTTTCATGTGTATAGTTTTATTTATTTATATTATCTTATTGAGTTAATGTTTGAAATATTATGTAGTGAAGTAATAATGGTAACGTTAAATATTATTAAAATTTTATTTTATTATATTTTAATTAATAAATTAACGTATAATAAAAATAAAATGAATTTATAATATATAAATAATTATGTGATAATTTTATAATTTTTAATAATTAAAAGATTTAATAATATAATAATTAATTAAGAGATAAAAAATATAATATTTTATAATTAAAATATTATTTAATAATTTTTAATAATCATGAAATATAATAAAATAATATTTTATAATTAAGAAAATATTTATATATGTTAACTTTTAAATTTTAGGGTTAAAATATCTTATGTTTTTAATTGAAAAGCAAAAGGACTAATCAGCTATACTAAATGTGGATTCCCTCTGGTATATATCCATTGAAACTTCAATAGGCAAAGACGCACATGAAGAGATAAAAAGAGACATAAATAGAAAATAATGGATTAATGGTTTTAGAAATTTAAAATGATATTATTAGTAAAATAGATATTTTTTTAAATAATTTTTATTAAGAATTTTTTTAATAATTCTTATTCTGATAGATAGGGGAGTAATAAAATTTTAAAATGATATAATAATTAGTAAAATAGATATATTCTTTTAATAATTATTATTTAGGTAAGAAAGTGTGAAAATTTTACTTCTAATAAGTATTAAATGTACAATTTAATAGAGGAGAGGAGTCAATTTAGAATTTTTAATCATATTTATATATAATAAGATTTTAGAATGACACTATCAGTAAAATAAATATTATTTTTTTAATAATTCTTACTTAGGTTGAGAGAGGAGATAGGGAGCAATAAAATTTTAGAATGACGTAATTAGTAAAATAGATATACTTTTTTAATAATTATTATTTAGGTAAGAAGGTAGGAAAAAATTACTTTTAATGAGTATTAAATACAATACTTAATGAAGAGGATATGTGTCAATTTAGAATTTTCATCGTATTTATATATAATAAAATTTTAGAATGACACTAAATAGATACTTTAAATAATTCTTTGTTAGGAGAGGAGAGGAGAGTAGAGGAGAGAGGGGAGCAATAAAAGAATGACATAATTACTAAAATAGATATGTTTTTTAATAATTTTTATTTTGGAAAAGATAGAAAAATTTTATTTTTAATGAGTATTGAATTCACACCTTAATAAAGAAAAAATGTGTTAATTTATAACTTAATTACATACTTTAAAAATAGTTAACAATAAAATAGATAATTAATATAAAATATTCGAATATTAAATTTATCGAGAATACATACATCTGTCACCACTGATATTGTGTAGGCATTTTTCAATTAATATTTCTTTTTTTATTAAGCTAAATGTGATTTCAAAGTAGTACTCTCAATCATTTGACAATGAATGTTCAATTATTCTTGTAGTCGTTGGTGCTCGAACTTATGACCTCTAGAAATAACAACGATTTTCACTGATGTAAATTCATTCGTGCTCCAATTAATATTTCTATATATGAATCACAGTGGGTTAAGATATTAAATATTTGGTATAACCGTGCTATCAGAACATGTATTTCTTTGCACAATTAGAATGAAATACTCCACCTTCCAACATATATTTTTTTAATTAACAGTTGAAGTCTAATTAATAATTTAAATTTTGAGTTATTTGTACTTTTTAAATTTTATTCACGTGTTAAAATTAGGATAAAATATATAAATGAACTTCTGATTATAATATATTATTTTATTGAGTTATTAGCTATTAAAAATTATAAAATAGTCTCTTAACTATATAGAGTTGTTTTGTTGAGTCTACCGACTATTAAAAATTATGAATTGGTCATCTGACTATTCATTATATTCCAAACTATTTTTTTTCTTTAAAAAATTAACGAATGTGAATTGGAAGTTAGCATGCTAACTGGGATATGATTAAATACGATCTCATAATCTCAAATAAAGATTATATCTCAGTTAACATGTTAACATTTAGCTCATACGACCATTAATTTTTTAATGAAAAAGGACGAGTTTGGAACACATTGAATAGTCGGGTGACCATTTTGTAACTTTTAGTAGTCAATGAACTTAACAAACAACTCCCTATAGTCAAGGACAATTTTGTAACTTTTAATGGTCAGGGGATTTAACAAAACAATATCATATAGTTAGGGGACTATTTATGTACTTTACCCTAGAAATTAATGAAAATAAAAATTATAAATATTGGGTTTTAAAGTTCTTCAATACTAGTTTAAAGTAGGTGGAGACTTAGATAAAATGGAGTGGGTAAACACCGTTACCCCTTGAAATTTTTAAATTTTCTATACTTTAGATTTTTAAATTTTTTATTGATAATTTATTTTTATTCGCACTAAAATTTTATAGATTCGCTTTCATCTCATATTTTATAAATTCATCTCCTAGTATGAAAATTTAATGTTTGAAGATTTAAAAAGAAGATGATGGGAAAAAAGAAGATAAAGATTTGGAAATTTTAATTTATAAGGAAATATAACATGAAAAATAAATATGACGTGTACTCATTTAATTGGATAGAGATCATGAATGAGGTGGTGAATAAGGTTCATGAAATAATTTCTCTTTTTATTGACTTTTTTTTTATCATTTTTTAACTTTAACTCATTATTATTTAAAATTTATTATTGATAAAAATATGAAAAATATATTTTAAAAACTCTCAATTAAGTATTTTTTTAAATATATATTTTTTATAAAATTTAATTGTTTAAAATATTTAAATAATTATGGTGAAAGTTTTAAAATTTTCACTTTTAAAAAATTAATAATAAACAAATTTAATGGTAATAATAAATAGATTTAATGGAACTGAGGGATTAGTATAATTTTATCAAAAGAATATGTATATTTAATAACATTTTATATATCTTTTAATAATAATTGAACTAATTTGCATTTTTTAATTTTATCTAGAATTATAGATTGTTTTTATGATTTGAATTAAAAATAAAAAATTTATAATTCAACACGTGTGTATAAGTAGCGTCGTAGGATATAATGATAAATCAATGCAAAAACGTTATTGGTGATTTTTTTCCCACCTTCCTTCAATACTCATTGATTTAATATTGATATTTTTTTTTATTAATTTAAAAGATTACAAAATAATATTGTAACCCCTTAAATTTGACCTAGGTGGTCACATATCGTATTCAGAAGTTCTCTTCATATTTAAAACAGAGTTGAAATCTATATAATAGTATAATACGAAACTAAACATGTAATACCCATTTCCCGTATACATTCCCGTACACGAGTCAGAGGACTTTTAAAACATTTTCGTACTTGAAAACCAATAAAATTTTATTTATTTAAATAAACAATTTAATAATATAGTTTATAAAACGTTATTCAATATATATATATATAATAACATTTATTTAAAGAAACAAAAGTATACCGATTTTCAAGTAGAAAATGCTTTAAAAGTCATGTAATAAATGTGACTTGTGTACAGGGACGTATACGAGAAATGAGTGTTACATTTATTTTTCTAATTTTATACTTTGACCATTAAACTTTTAAAACTTACATTTTGGTTACTAACCAAAATTTGGGGTATTGCAAACCATCAATATGGTGCATACGGTAAACATATATACATATATAAAAAACGTATAAAACATATACAAAACAAACTACTGATAATACAGATATATCAAAACAGTAGTCACCAAAATATAACAAAAAAGACATATAGAGATATACAGTGGCACAAAAATGAGGAGTGATCGGTCCTGATACCAAGTCTGCTAGTCTACTGTTTGCTACTATCTGAAAAAGTTAAAAAATTTAAAGAAATAGAGTCTAAAGCTTCCATGTAAGTCAAGAAATTTATTCTAGGATTAAATTAAAAAAAAATAAAAGCAGAAAAACCGAAACTTAAAGCAGATTAAACAAGTATAAAGATTAAACTGAAAAATTATAGAACTGTAAACTTGAATTAATAAACATAAATACTAAAGCAAGGATTGCAATATAAAGAATTCAAAATTAAGGATAATAACATAAATGATAGAAACTTAAAGGCAAGCACTTAAACTAAAATAGATATTATAAAAATTTAATGCTAAAATCTAAATAAAGCGATAAATAAATAATAGTAGAAAATAACAGCTAAAATGTAAACTTAATAAAACTAACAACAATAACAAACAAAATTCAAAGGCCCAAAAATAAATTAGGACAATGATTAAAGTTAAATAATATGAAAGATGCATTTTCAAAGTACGAACATTATGGAAAATAAACAAATATGGAATCAAGGATCGAAATAAATCAATACAAAACTTTAAACACTGAAACTTAAAATCAAAAGATTGAATATAGATTATATTGAAAGAAAGTCAAATGAGCAAGGCCCTCGTACAATAATAAACCTTTAAAGCTAAGCGTGGAATTTTCCACCCC